ATGATCTGGACAACAACGGAGCCATTCGGCTTTACCCAATTCCAGTATCGTCAACTTCACCTGGGCACCGGGCATGTACGAAATTCGGCGTTCATAGAATTCTACCGATGCTTGTGGAAGGAGATCATACTTCTGACACAAATTGAAGAGGATGGTCCATCCGCACATATTGTCAAAAGCCTGAGTCGGCATGATGATACTATCCAGTCTTACCTGCGGGATTTCTAACAGTTGCGAGATTGCTAGATGAAGGCTCGGGAGGTCTCGGTGACGCGGATCGTGGATAGCGATGAATGCACACCATCGGGATTGTGCACGTGCCAAAGTAACCATGACCCAATGCTGATGAAACAGAACAATCAAGGTGACCTGGTCGAAACCTACCGCTGAGAACGCATAGTCATCATAGCAATTCAAAGTTTGCGTATCAAGCTGGAATCTCATTGGTGATGGGAAGAGTCGTTCACTGTCACGTGGCCTAATCCCCCGAAGGCACAGTTCAATCTCAACACTAGACATCCAAGCTGGGGACTGGGCTAGAGTCGTGTTAATCTCTTGTTCATAATCCGCCTGCGTAACTGCATGCGGCAACAGACACGATCGACGGACATAGTCATCAGTAACCCCCGCAAAGGAGATCATGGCCGAAGTGGCAGGGACTCGAGTATCTGGATTACCTAACGCATACTGAATCAGGAATCCCATACGAACTTGACTTGCAAAATCACGTAAGGCCTGACCAGCGTTCGTCCGATTCCAAAAGCGTTGCGACCTTTGGAGAGCCTGAATGATAATATCATGGTGTGTGGTGGGGTTGGCGGATTGCAAATGCAGTAAATGATCAAGACCAAAATCTTGCTGCCACTTGTGCAAAAGTGTCCACCCACACATCGAAATGCTTTGATCCTGACGATGGACATGAGATGTCATTCTATGTGGCGGGATTTGAATGGCTTGAGCGATTTTATGAAGAATCCTGGTCACTAAATGATCTGGCCATTGTACCAACAAGACATGTGGCGGGAAACTCCTCTTATCTATCTCAAGCGCACACCAATGGGACTTAATCAAAAAGGGCATCACCGTGAGCTGCCGATTGGTGATGTACAGCTCGATGCTTCCTTCAACATTGGTCATCAAGTCACGATCTGGACACCAGTGAATGACTGGGGATACATGGACATCATCTCTCCTCTGTCGAATGAGTTGCAAGCAGAAATGCATTTCATCAGATGCTAACCAGCCATTATCCCGCGAGGTGGCCGCCAGCCTTTCATGGAGAGAAACATCTGTCTGCATGTGAATCACCTCACTCTGGTCCCAAGCCGGGTGTCCGCCAATAAACACTGCATTAGGCCGATCAGTTTCCCTTTGTCTACCGAAGGAGCAAAAGGTCCGCCACTTGCCTTCGCCAATGTTGATATTTGACATTACAGTTGTACGCAATGGCTTCGCCAGCATAGCTGTAGATATTGGAAATCCAAATGTCCAAACTGAGGATGTCGAACTGGGTACAGCCCCACTATTGATAGTTTGCGCATGGCGAGCATATTGCTGTCCCGAATGTGGATTTAATGCACAATGATTCGGAGTGGATGAGTCCACGGGTACAGCCCCACTGGATAGATTCCTGTTGGTTTGCAATAGCGTACCACATAGTTGGCAATTGTCATCACAGCACTCACTTGTAGGGAGACACCACGAGGATCTCCATTTGCCATCAGACTTGGTGCTAGGCCCACCTGGACGTCCAACTCGAGACATAGAAGATCGCAACCCTGAGAATGTCCTGGAAACTATCCCCATTCGTGCGATATCATTGATTTCCGGCTGTCGAGCTTGTGCCTCAGAACCTGGAGTGGTTGTATACACGGGTACAGCCCCACTGCATATTGTTTTGAGTGTCTGCCAGATCATTTCACAACTTCGATATAGGTTCTCATAGTGCCCCCATGTGTGATTACGTTGATCGGAGGTCATCGTCTTTCCTGCCAAATCCTCAGACCTTGTAGAATATCGTGGCGTAGGATCATGAAGCCCGGAGGAGGACGGCCTTACAGGTGTTGTCCCACAGCGTGTTGTTGCCACCGATTTCCAGAATAGGCCAGACAGGCAAGGAAAGTGCAAACAACATATCACCGTATGAGAGCCACAACAAAAGCTTCTGGAACTATGTGAAAAGACATCTGATCCGGCCTGATGTCGTTGCTGTGGAACTGGGTTAGCGGAAGAGGATGTTCTTACGGGTACAGCCCCACTGTATGTAGTATCGACATCGAAGCCATCCGAACTTTGTGCAATATCTAGTAGCAACTGATTCCGCCTTGACGAGCATCCAACGTCCTGCCGGACAACAGGCTGAACCTGGAGAAAGTCCAAAACAGCTTGAGGTTGTTGTGATGACTCAAGGTGCGCAGAGAAAGCTCTTTGCCTGGGTGCCCATGTCGTAATGCTGTCATCGATGCACGCAAAATCTGGGTAAATATCTTGCTGCGACAGGACTTGCCCCAAAATGCTCTTTTGGCTGATGGTAACGAGAACTGAGAATTCGCCTTTGGCCTCATCCCAGTCCACCTTTGATTTAGGTAAAGGTTGGTCTTGGACGAACTGCTCAAGCATGGATTTCACTTGTACAAGCAAATGTACATCACGGTAGGACAACCCTACCATTCGGATGGAGGACAAACTGATGTGATTGGCACACTGATCCAGCCTGGCAGTCAGATGGTGTTGATGACAATCATCGCCACTCGCAAATAGGCCGTGAGTCAAAAGGATCTGAAAAAAGAACATTCTGCGGTCCAAAAAATTGACTGAATGGTAGAGGACCTTTCAAGAGCTGGTCCACGTTTGTGGACTTATCTATGTTCAGATAAATGAGCATCTTGAAATCGCTTCCCATCAAACTTAAAGCAACTTTCGGACTGCAAGACCTAACGGCATGATTTGGCGCATGTCCAACACCTACACGAACGAGATCCCATTGTTTGGCCTTTGGAGTGTGCATGCCATCTTGTAGATAGAGACAATGGATCTTACGTGCGTGAATCAGTATACACATTCGGGAAGGTTGGTCATACGTGACCTGCACCTCATGGATACAATACCCACAAGATAAGTCACAGAGCTGAATTACCCCACGGAGGGTACGGTAGGCATCATTTTCATGTTGGCTACATTGTAAGATGGCACTCACAAGCAAATGCGTTCTCATACCTACCGTGTCCAATTGCGTTTTCTCTTCATGGTCATCTACTTCGCTGGGATGGTCAACAAGTGTGATGTCAGTCATATCACCCCATACCAACCGAGGAGGAATGAATGCATCTCGTATAGTCAAAACTACACAACCCGGTGGCCCATGGTTCATGACATAACAAATCTCTTGCACAGTATCAGACATCACATCGATACAGGCCGACTCTGAATTCAGGTGTTGCGAATTGGCACATGCACAACTTGACTCTAAGTCACACAGCTCCAAGGAATGTTCTGTCACTACGAATGACCCCGAAGTATCTGTGGGCAGTACAATTGGCGGGAGCTCGAACACATATCCCTGGTGTTGCCCTTGCAGCAATGAAAGCATATACTCAATGTCACCCGAGGTTGACCTAGGAGGAATTGGTACGTCTCGTGTGGTGACAACCACACAACCAGGCCAATCAACAAACATGGACATGGGCATATCCAAACATGCTGACCATATGGTGTTACCATTTGACATGGCATGTGCATCCTCGTGCCAGATGGGAGAATCGGAAGACTGCACCCATGGGCAGGAACTACCCTGCCTAGGCGACGATGTGACTTTCTTCAGACTCCACATCCATTGCAGGATACCATCAAAACACGAGGCTATGATACCATGGTGGAGTTCATCATGTCCAGAACCCAAAGGCACATTTGAATGATCTGTGGAAGACATAATCGGTTGCTTTTCACACCGTCCATGCATTCCGAACCATTCCGGCATGAGGTCAATGTCTGCTTCTGGAGAGCCTGATGTCAAAGGCATTCTGGACTCAAACTGTTGGGCCCATGGTTCGAAACCTTCTGGTGTCACACCGATTGTACCACCGGGGGCATAAGTGTCACACCCATAGGTCGCATCAGGTGGCGACCCTACTTCGTGTTGGCATTCACCCGAACACTCATTCTCGATCAGCACGGCAAGGTTGGTGTATTGACAACTCCATGGCTCCGACATGGCATCGTCATCCATCATGTATCCATAGCCTGCCAATTGATCATATCGAAAGTGCTCGACTGCCCATGGTTCAGGGTGCTCTTCCAATGGCTTATAATCAGGATCCGCAAATCCTGCTGGAACATCTGGCTCATCCGCTGTAAGGAACAAATCTGGATTCACCTGTTCCTCATTGACTCTGCGCAATCCACTTTGGTAGCAGCCTCCCTTTGTCCACGTATACAGAGTACACGCTGTCTTCGTCTTCAGGTAGGGGAGGACATGGGTCGCAATCTTCTTAATCAACACACAGCCATTAGCAGCACGAAATTGAACCATGGCATAATGAGAATGCCTCAGCACCACCTTTTCAGCAGTAAATTCATCCATCTTCACAGCTTTCCAGGTAGAGCTAGCAGAAATCAAGTGCCCCACATAACCATGGCATGGCATCGACCTAGCTATCATGGCTCGATCGGCACCACCCCCCCTCCCAAGGGGGATGGCAACGGGTGCGCTACGCGTAAGCTCGAGCCTAACACCTCTGGTTGATCCACCGACGAGGTCAAACGACCAGGGCTCCAGGTGTTGACCCATCCGCATATATTCTGAATAGTCTATAATGAATCAGCTTTATCCCTGATCCTTGTCCTTGAAGCGTTCGATCGTCACAGCTCCCAATTTTACATAGAAGCTGGGCCATAATGTTGTACATGGAAAACACCTGAGCCTGAGATGATGGCCGATTGATGAAAACACGCACTGCGAATAAGCAAAACCTGTCCCACATACCTTCGCCAGCGCAAGGCGCCTTGCAGATCCTCCAAGAGCAAAGACTCCTTGCAGATCCGGCGGAGGCTAAGATCCTCTCGGGTTCCAAAGAGTGTGACCAGAAAGAACAATAGAATGTAGTGTTCCACATACATTCAGAAGTAGCTGCTACAGCCAACTACAGGTTTGGTGGAGAGCGAGAGAAGCCACACATATACTAGTTTTGATAGGTGGAACCCAAAAAACACACAGATTTTGTTGTAGGCCAGCAGTTTGGGAGCTTCCGGCAAATGTTCATGGAGGACATCTACATCTGAAGGAGACAATTTTGCATTTTTGAGCACCAAAAAGTCATTGGTGATTGAACCTGCTGGTGTGAGGTCCAGTTGCAAGCAGGACATCATTTTGGTTCCCACATGCAGAAGTTGAAACCTGTCACACATCTGCTAAGACGCCTAAAAATTATCGACTTTCGAGCCACTCAAAGGGTGCACTATTCTGTTTGTCAGACTGCTGATGTCAGCTGCGTTCCTTACCAGGGGAAGCACGTAAAAAGAACAAATACGAGTGTGTCAAGACCGCGCCCCCTCCGGTGAACACACAAATCGCTTATAAAGATTGCAATGCATACAATATAGAGAAAGAGAGAGACCCTAAACGCCCATGTTTGCAAGAACGTCGCATCTCAGCCGCGCTCAGCCGCGCATCTTCTTGGCCGCTCTTTTCAATACAAACGTCCAGCCGCTCCTCTTGTGGAATGTCAGCCTTCTCGGAGAACTGGACCTTCACCACACCCGAAGAGCGCGACAAGCTAGAGTGGGCCATCAAAGGCTTCGAGGCCGCGCTTGGGGACCTACATAAGTTTGGTGGTAGTTATGGAGGTTCAATATACAAGGCATCTTGGGGTGCCTACTGCCTACTCTGAAACCAGTGTACAAAGTCTTGTTCTGAGTCTTGTAAGACGCTGGCCTCCAGCTCCTTGGTGAGCTTCTTCTGTATCGCAAGCCTGGAAGTGGGCGGTGAAATGGCGCCCTGTGGCCTCCCTGGAACCCAAAATGGTCCGAAGAAGCAAGCTTTGGAAAACGACTGCAGCTATAGAAGAGCACCTTACCTTGAAGCCTTTCTAGCTTGGCTGATGATGCCGAAACTCACCCTAATCAAGACATATAAAGACCAATCCACCCAAGCCAACCCACCTCCCCCGCTACCACCCCCCCCCCCCCCCCCACGGTGCCTGCAAAGGTCCCCGATGCGCTCCGCCGGGAGATTCGGGTCTGCAATGGGTTTTGTGTTTTTTTTTTCGCGGCTTACGAAACGGTCGGTGAAGATGAGGGGGATTTTCTGCGTTTTCGATCTTTTTTTCCGGAGAAAACGGAAAGAAGTCGGTTTGAGAAGATGTTGCGAGATGAAAAGGAAGAGACTTTAAAGACGCACAACAGTGTTTTGTTGCATGAGTTTGTATGATTTTGTCACATCTCCCGAATGATGGTTGGGATCACTTGGGGATTCTCTTCTTGGAAATGGGTGTCAAGAGATAAAGTCTCTATAAATTGACAGGCAATGGTGTTTCTATGAAATGCCAAACCAACTAAACTCTCGATAAAAGTCATTTGAAGGATAGATGGACAAGTTCAGCTTTTCTAAAACGATAAAACTAGATCCCAATAAACAAAATATAGATCATATACTGGCGCTCTGTTGATAGAGTCGCTCTTCTGCTGGGTGTCCTAATTCATTAAAGATACACCCAGGCCCGGGCCTGTAGGCAAACTGTGTAACCCCCCTGACACGTCTGCATCCCCTTCGCCCACCAAAAGCGTGCATGGCAACAGGCCTTGCATGGCAACAGGCACTGCAGTGCCAAGGAATTTCAAGACGCTCAACTTCTGCCTGTGTCAAGGGAGCGAAGGGATTGTAAACAAACCCTCTTCAATTCCATGTATTGGTCGACTATTCTTCCTGCTTTGGGTGATTTTAGAGAGGGTACATTCCGTATATATAAATGCAGCGTCTAGCGATGCCTTTGGTAAACATGTATCAACATTCTGCACAAAGTCCATCCAATCATTTGACCAAGGAACCAAGCGTCCCCAATTAACTCGGACTTTCTCTGTTTAGTTTTGTTTTTCTCGGGTGAACACCTGTTGTCTGCTGTATTGGTGCAAAAAGGCTACTGTACTATGGAATGTGAACCTCGAAGCTGCCTCAAAGTGGATGTTTATTTTGGAGAAACATCCTCCTCCCAAAAGATATACCCTCGCTCAGGAGCACAATCACCTGGTGGACGCCAGCCCGCTTTGCGCTGACGCAGCCCTTTTTCAAATGCGGGAGCATGGTGCGGTCAGCTTTCTTCGAATCCCCTGCTCCTTGGTGTGCCGGGCCGGTGCTCACGAGGGTCTATCGTATTTCAAAACCGGTCAAAACATGTCAAAACCTTGCATGTGAGGTGAACCTTACTTTGCCTATAATTGTTTAGTTATTATATCATATGATATCATAATCATGTGTAAATTAGGTGTATATACATATCATATATATTTTTATGTATGTGCTTTTCGCGGTCTACTTGTCATCTCATATGTACTTCATTTGATGTCTGAAATATCACCCATGTTCGCTGCAGGGATCAAACCAAAGCCTAGGATTTGAAGCGCTTCCGCCCTGACCCAGTGCATATTGGCATGCCGAGGCACTCGATCCTCGGACCAGTGCAACTCATCTGCTAGGACCTTCAAAAGTTCCAGAGTTTGTCCACCAACTGCCACACTGAGCAGCTCCAGGCACCTGTGACCATCTGGGAGGCAAGACCGTGTGGTCGTGCAGTATTTGTTGTGTTTTTTTCTTAGGAAGGCAAAACCGTGCTTTGTTTTTTTGTTTGTTTGTCTGTTTGTTTGTACTTGTGTGTGTGTTATTGTTTGTTGAGGGCACCGGAAAGAAAGGGATGGTCCAGGAGGATGAAGATGCGCGCATCTTTAGGGTTCCCGAAAAAATGCCAAGGCGTGCACCCTAGCTAGTGAACTCCTGAATATATCGTCATGTGTGTTTCGGGACCATTCTCGGGAGATCCTACTAACATTGGATGCATGTTTGTTCGCACGTTCTCCAGGTGAACTTCAACCATCCGGCAAATACAAAAAGGCATGAAAGGGGATGCAGCATGGTACAGTGACAGCTCCATATGTAAGTAATTCACCCAGCTATTCTTGTGGCCAAACATGGCGCGCCACCTCTAATCCTCGGACTTGTTGCTTCACCGTGTTCCAGCTGACTCATTTGTTGAGTTTCAAAGACTGACCTTAAGGGTACCTGTACCTTAAGCGTCAAGGGCCTCTGATACTACAAGTTATGATATAACGAACTGGAGCTTATTGAAGTGTTCGATGCCTTTCTACATCTTTCTACCACTTCTCGGGAACCGACTGACGAACCCTCCAACCTATTGATCAAACTCTGTTCCTTTGAAAGCCGTGGAAAAAACCTGCCTCCCACGACCCAAATGACCGAACTTGAGATCCCAGAATACCGGCCACTGGTCCTCCCCGAATAAGAGGTGTTCTTCGGCCCTAACGGGCCGTCGACTCAACAGCCGCAGGTGTCGCAGCTGAAAAAAACAGGGTTTCACCAAACCGTCCACCTCTTCTGTTCCGTCTATGCTGGCGTGTCCCAAAAGTCTCCTCAAAAAGACTGGAAGACTGCAAGCTATCTCCAAATAAATCCAGGTTGTTTTTTCCTTGTGTCGACGATCTATCACCTTGAATCGTCAAACAATATCCAACCCGTCCGCAAATCCATTCTATATGTCTTCTATATCAATATCCCATTACCAGCAACAGTGGATGATGCTCGCTCAGTTGCAGGCCGACTCTATCATACTCTAACATATAGTGACCTGTTACTTGTACATCTCCGTCTCGTTCTTCTCTTCTGCTTGTTTGGGGGACCAACCGACAGACCCTCCGCCCCGCTACGCCTAGCCAGGCCGGTCTCGGGGTCCAGCGGCTCGGTGAGGCGCTGCAGGCAGCGCTGGCGCTGGCGCTCGGGCCTTCCGGTCGGATGTTTGGGGAGGCTTCGAGACATGGAGGTTTAGAATACTTCAATTCTATTCTGCATACTCAGTTTATGTATAAGTATACTTAGTATACTAATTCTATCTGAATTCTAATTTTATCTGTATATACTTAGGTTTTATTCTGCATGGAAACAAGGTACTGGGCAGTACCTTGGAATTGGAAGGAGATGAATGGAAAGTGTAGAGAAGGGTTAGGACATATTGGAAAGTTCCACATGGCTAATTGTAGGGAAATTTATCTGAATGGTTCACCATCTCTCGTTCAACCCTAGAGTGGAGATATGTCAATTACAAACGATCACTGCTTCGACTTAAGTACATGTAAATACTACCATGTGCCAGTTAATTCCATTTAAATACCATGTACCATTTAAGTACCTGTTTCTTTAAATACCTTAATCACCTTGTTCTGCCAAGTTTCCATCTTCCAGTTTTTGTTTAGTCGGATAGACTTCACTCACCAGGTCGTTCGACTGACATCCATGTTTGGTCCCAGTGCACGAAGTCAACCCACTTCCGACTGTCCAGGAGCGTTTCATGATGAACACCACTGGCATGATCTATCTAACCTGGATGGTAGTTTTTCACCATCTGCCCAAACATTAAAGTCAAAACGTTTCTTGACTCAAAACATGAGTAGTTAAAGTACTCAAAACATTAAAGTCAAAACATGAGTAGTTAAAACGTAAACTGTAAAAGGTACATGAAGGATCATGAAGGCATCAACCAGTTGCTGATCTATCCGGAAAGACCAGCCCAAAATTTGTTGACGTTTCGCACCCCGTCAAGGAAAGGTCTTTTGGAGCCTGGCCTTTCCAGCAGTTCTCTTCCAGCGATCTTCGCTAGAGTGGGAACCAACTTGGCCCAGCGTCCTCCGCTGCCAGCTCCTGTGGTCTCGACCAAAAAAATGGTGTGACCCTGAATGTCCAAGAGTTTTGAAAAAGAATCTTGTATCATGTCATGGTGATGCAACATGTCCACCTCTGCGTGAAGCCTGTAATACTGCGTGTCATCCCACCAAACTGGAAAAAAAAAGAACTATTTCAGCTATATAACTACATGGATTGAGCGTTGCCTATCTGCACCTCGACCAGTCTCTTCTTTTGAATTCCTAAGAATAGAAAAAGTCTTGCGATGCTCATCCACTGTCCGCCTGAAAGATCCGGCTGCGCACGTGCCCAGCACTCATCAAATGCCATGAGCAGCTCAGCGTCCGTGCGCAAACCGCTGCTGCTCAACTTCCCTTCGCCTCACTCACGAAAGCGCGGAGAAAACACGAAAGCCTCCAAGTCCGACGTATGTTTCGGGGTGTCAAGGGGGACTGGAACGTAACTGTTCACAGGAATATCTGGAACACCTACTGCGAAGGTGTATATCTTGGATGCATATATATATATAGAGAGAGAGAGAGCCAATGTCCATGTTATTTTTGCGTTCGAGCACTTCCTCCATCAAAGGTCCAAACATGAAATTTAACAATTATCCAATGCCAGGAGAACCTCAAACACCCCATAACATGCCAAGATGTCCCAAAATGTTCCGAAACAATGATCTCAGTCTCAATCTGTATCAATCTGTATCCTTTCTTCATGCGATGTTGCCATCTTTCCAGATGAGGGACGGGTGAACGTCCTCTTTGCTCGCCATGCCCTGCCCGCCTTGTCCTCCCACCAAGGGCACCACCCAAATCTCCAGATCCGTCCGCCCTAGGCGGCGCCGCTCCACGTTGATGCTCTGCGCGCCCGTGGCGGTTTCAACCTGGGTCTTGATTCAGCTCCCACACAGAGTGCACAGAAGAAGGCCATTGGCCATTTGAGCGAGGGCACGGGTCCCAGCATGACCCAAACATCCCAAACCGTTCGATTTCGACCAGATATGGACCTCAACATGTTTGACTTGCGGAGCTCACCAGCCTCTCGGTCATATCTTTTGCTCGACTTGTAACGAACACTGCAATCGGCCGACCGAACAACTGCATGCGGCCGACCGTGCAGAACTGTACAGCCAAGGGACCGAAACGACCAAGGCTCTCAACTGAGGCCACAGAGATGGGCCAAAGGGATCTTGCAGCTCCTACACCCGGTCCACGACCCGATGCAGCCAAGCGCGAGAGAGGGAAGGACAGGTCCAGTCAGAGCGATGGAAAGGGGAGGATGGAGAGTCTCTCAGAGAGGTGAACCCCTGAGCTTTTCCTGCGTGGCAGGAGATATAGTGATCCCTGGGTTTAAGTCCAGGATATACATATAATATGGTCCATGGTGAGGATATACACCTCAGACATCATAGCCATCCCTTGAGGGCTGCTATCTTTTGGATGACTTGATGTTTGTCCAACTTGATCCCACAAGACCACCCCGTGGTCCAAAGCACTTGGGAAAAAAATGAAACACCATGGAGTCGCTGCGGTTCAAAGGAACATGACCTGTTCAAACGTGTTTTTTTTCCGCTTCAAGCAGCCATATGGTTGCCAGTCGGGCAGTTTGCATCGAATTAAGTGGTCGGATGGTAGTCCCGACGTTTTATACCCTTCCAAAACTACTCATGTCGACTTTGGCAACCCAAAGATGGGTGTCATTTTCATAGGGAGACCTCTTTGCCTAACCCCTGGGTACACATGGGTAGACTGGTTTACTTTCTGAACCAAACTCGTTGCCTGGATCCCATCTCCCTATCTATTTTGCCCTGGGGCTCCAACCATATATCAGGTTCGGTGATTAGACCCCCCTGGCACCCACCCCAACCATCTTCCCAGGAGGTGGGCCAGGAGCCAAACGTGTCACGACTCGAACACCGCACCACGACTCCTCCAGCCGCACTGAGAGCATGGGCTGCTGCAGTGCAAGGAACGCCTCAGCTCAAATCATCGGTTCTGACGTGAAACAACCCGGGTGGAACTTAGACAGAAATTCCTTACATAAAGTGGAAAACAAACACAATTTGTTGGTCTGTTTAGGAGTTGGTCTGACATTAACAAACCACAACAATAACTCGTCCTAACTCCAAACATGTTGACCTTAAACAACTTCTAACATGTCCAACACAACAGTAGGCGAGTTACTAGAGTTCTGCTGATCCTCCCCTTCCATCTCATTCAATCCTCCTTATGGGTGGCGGACACGTTGGACGTCGTTGGTTGCCAGCCAAGGGTCTGCTACCTCCCGCGCACGCTCGCCCCAACTCTGCAGGAGACTCGCAGAGGCCTGAGGCCGACGGTGAGAGCATACACCCGAAGTAAGCAGCAAACAGGACCTATGGGAAATGAATGCAACATGGATTGAGTATCAACAAATAGTATCTATCGGCATCTACTGCAGAAGTCCATTCTTGAACAGTTGGGATGGGTTTGGTTCTATCTTTCTTTCCGATGTGTTAAGTGTCTGAGAGATGATGGGTCACCTCCCATGCTCTTTATGTTCTTTGCACTGGCAGTGAAAGACTCTTCATGCAGCGGCTACTAGTAGAGGCAACAAACCATCCGCAACCCAGGTGTTCTCGCCCATTCTTTCATTGCTTCGAAGTACGACCCAAGGTGGGGGTCGTCCCCACGCCTTCTCGCGCAGCAAGGGCTCTCCAGAGATTCCAACCACCAAACCTGTGACTGACTCGGCCCAAACGCGTTTCGGAAACGCGAGTCGACGAACCAGCGAACTCTGCCGTTGTGTGGTGGAAGAAGGTGGAAAAAGCCAGACTCCAAACGAATCATGGTGACGTGTCAATGTTCAACAGCTGGTGCCATTCTTTCTTCCCTTAGAAGGGTTTGAGTTCCAAAAAGCCTGGAGAATGAACTGAATCACAGTTCTCTTTGCGTCCTTTCTTTTTTTTTGTGGCATCCTTTTCGTTCTTTCCGGCCAAGTAAAGAACTATCGGATCATATATCGGTGGATATGACTCTTTGGCCAGGAATATCCCACACTTTGGTGTGGGATCCAATGCATCTACCGGTGTCTGGCCGCTGATGACGACGAAGAGAAAAGGGGCCTCGAGTGGCCATCGCGGCTGCACAACTCAGGAGCACCTGCAGCGATGGAAAAGAACGAAGTAACTAATATATAAATTTTATGTGGATCATTTGGTATGATATGTTCATATTGTATAATTATTACCAGTATAGTATATATTGTACAAGGTACAAGTATAAGAAATATACCAGGATCATCCTGTCTGGGTGTCCTGGCTACCCTACCCTACTTACAGCCAGACAGGGCACACGTTGAAAGTACTAGGTATGTGGATAATTATTGTATACCGAACAGTAACTATACAATATACAGTACAATAATCTATATATATAGATATGTTTATATTTTTTATTGTATCTTACTGTATTACTATTGTATACTATACTATTGCTATATTGCATTGTTGTATAAATTGCATTGATGCTGTGTTTACTCCTGGCCAACATCCAAAGCGTCATTACTGACATTATTCCCCAAGTCAATGAACTCTTGCACATCCCGCTGAGTTCCTTCTTCAACACCTCCCGTTTGATTCCATGGTTCTTTGCACATCTCACCGCTGGCGGCCATGTCCACAAGAATCAACCAACACCTGGGACCAATCCTCATCCAATCAAGATTCCTAGTGAAGGCCACACAGTCGGGTCAAAGCCAACACAAAGACCATAATGGTCTCATCTTAAAAGCGTTTCTCTACCTGAACTGCATGGAGACATCATCAACCACCGTGATTAATAACCAAATCCGTTTGGATTGTACAACCTCTTCACATGGATATTTTATTCATCAAGATTCTACATACTCCACAAACCATTGTCACATGTGTGACTGAGTATATAATTATTGGCACTCTTAGATCCCAGAATTGGTTTCAGGGAAAATCTACAGGAATCCCAGAGTTTTGGGTGTGAAAACATGGCTTTCCTGTAGATGTTCCCTTAAACCAATTCATTGATTAGAGCAATCATGAAACATGCAACTCCTCCCGGACCCAGTAAGCCATGCACGCCTAGTGATGAGAGTCAATTTACACAAAACTTCGGACCCAAAGACCAGATTCAAAACCTTTTTTGGCTCTAGACCCTCGGACAAGAAACGTGGCAAGGCCAAGGAACTGGTTTTCTCTGGAAAACACATAAAAACAAACGATGTCAAGGTGGCCAAGGCCAAGGGGTAAACTACTTTTTCCTTGAAAGAACTACGGACTTCAAGGACTTCCTTTCTTAGCTTAGCTTAGGTACCTTTCAATATTTGGTATTGTTATTGTTCTACCAAATAACTGGGAGAAGCAAAACTCACAGCCACACCGATCCGGGATGTTGCCTGATCCGTCGATCCGTCGACCGCGTCCGCCACCTTGTGGCCTTCGTGTAAGCGATCGAAGGTGCCGCCGAGCGCCACATAGTCCTGGGTCGACCGAGCCGAGCACTCCATGAAGGCAGGAGACCGTTCGCAAGGAAACCACATCAGTCCAACACCCAGTATAGTAGTCCTCTGGAACTCCTAAGTGAGTGGATCATGGGACTAGGGATCCCTTTGAGTGGTGTTTAATCAATCCCTAAGTGAGTGGATGTGACAGGGGCACCGTAACTTCCTTCCTCCGAGTTTTCTGCCCTTAGTGACTTAGTGGGATGATTGAAGATCCAGTGGGTCCAGCTCGGCTAGTTTCGTCGGCCGCGCAAGAGAGAAGTGATGAGGATTCGGATGTACCTCCCTACCCTCGCAACTACCTTCAAGAGTCTTGAATCTGTTTTTGATTCGAGCACAACAGCTTACAGGCCTCGATGCAAGCACCTTCCATCCGGCATCGACCTGCGGTCGAAGCCCCGCAACGGTAAGGCTCGAGTTGTCGAGTCAAATCCTCGACTCAACGACGTCGACACATCCACACAAGAATCACAAATCTGGGCTTGCAAAAAGTTGAAAGGATTCTGGGTCTATTACCAGTAAGAGTTGATGATGATGATGATGATGATGATGGTGATGATGATGATGATTATGATTATGATTATGGTAAAGGCCTTGTAAAAAATAAATAAATCTATATATATATAATATATATATAGATAATATATAGTAATTGTTTGGTGACTGATACAGGCAATAGGACAAACCCAAGATTCAGGCAAACAAAAGGGGCAAAGAAAGTGCAAGTCTTCATTAGGTGTGCCGGGCAATGCCGGGAAAGACTCTCAACCTTAGGTCATAACCGGTAAACCTTGGACCCTCCTTGTACCACAAGGGTCACGATTAAAACACCCACCACCCTCCATGGTTTGTCACATATATACTCGACTTCCCCAAAGTGATGGCGGTACAAGTTATGAGCAATGAGGCGCATTACAGGGTTCAAAAGGGCCGTTGAAGCATCATCTTTACTATCGTTTACTCCTCCATCTTCGGTTCTTGGATGTTATTGGGTAGAAAACAAGGCACGTGTTACGTTCCAAGCCTTTTGATGTATACTTACTTTTTAGGCGTTTCATCTTCTATCCCAAGGATGAGCATTCTACCTAGCTTCTAGCCTGCGCCTGCAACTAGGCTTGCCACCTCTCGTGCATTGTGCGTTGAGCAGGACCAAATGCATTCACTCGAGATCTGTTCGCCTCAAATCATCGCCATAGAGATGTCATAATTAGTTGAACACATATGCTGAGCTTGTTTGGAATGTTCACCTTATTTTGTAGGAACCCAGGATGTCTATGTCACGCACGACTGAAGAGTAGGAGGGCCAAGCCCGTCCCTCTGCCTTCGCCTGTCAGGCGGGGCAGCACCGAGAGCTCCTGAGACCACGGCGGATGGGTTGGGCGAAATGGAAAGCGAGAACTGTTGATGGAAGAAATGAGATCCTAAGAAATGGACTTATCCAAAATGCGAAGGTAAAACAGGAAAGAAGCATGCATGATCCTCCCATTCGTCTGGCTCCGAGTATAAAGCCCCTATAGAAAATCCCAAGCTTTGCGGAAAAGAAACGATCCTGTTCTTTAGGAAACCAGCTAAAGGTTAAGTGTCCTTATAGGACCCATAACCTGGGGTACCCAACTGGGATAGTCAAACGTTCGGGTACTTCAACCTCTGTTGGACACATTGCCTGAAGATGACAGAATTCTCTGACTGATTTCCTCAAGTTCGACTCTTCAGCCCCACGGAGAAAATCGACACCAAAACTGACCAATTGAACACTCAAATAAAGGTTACGTGAATGGCATAGATCGTGGGAAAACACCATGGTTCCAACCACCAAACAGGTGGCGAACTTTACTTCCTGGATCAGTTCAGGGAGTGTAAGACAACTTGCCCAGCAGCCACAGAGTCCTCCAGCAGCCACCCTTCTCGTCTTGCTTTGGCCAAAAGCTGTTGATAGCAGCTCTGCAAAAGCTCTGCCAAGGAGGCGAAGCTGAACACGCCCTGCTGCAACCTACGGATGGTGGGAGAAGAGCGGCCAAAGGATCTGGCGAATCGGCTCGATCGAGGGAGGCCCGAAAGGGCCCCCCCGCACTACTAGGAGTAAGAAGCTACTAGTAACTGTATTTTACAGGATCAGCTCTAATAGTACTAACTACCTAGCTAACCCTGCTAGTCCGGTAAGCGCTACCTTTTGCTCTACCTTGAGAGTCAACGCTACGGGGTCCATGGGGATGAGGTGAATTTCAACACCCCCCTTTACAAGGAGCTACCCGTAGGGAAAATCTCAGGGAGGATCAAATTCTAGCGACGAAGGAATCATATTAGAAATCCCTCATCAAGCTCGTGCATGCACTATACAAGGAGAACGTAGCTACCCTAATGTACAGTTTTCGCCTCACTCGGCATGTGGTTAAACATGCTAGGCCCAGGTTAGTGTTAAGCATTGATTAAAAGTTCACTCTCCGACTATGGCAATCCTGTTATGGATGCATTGGGAAGTGAGACAATGAAGTGAAACATCATCTCACAGCGCGTCAGAAGGTGATCTTTATCTCAACACTCATAAGCTGCAAGGCATACCATTTATGGTAGCTATTCAACATCTGCTTAAAGAAATTGTATTCCAAAACGCTCCGTCTCGTCATGCCATCCCTGCCTCAACCACTCCCACAATTCCATGTGATTGGGCCAATAGTTCTCGCCCCATGGGTCATCGCGTTGCCATTGTACTCCAGGAAAATCAAAGGGTTCCAATGGTCGATCAATAGTTCCACGAATGCTGGAAGTCGGCGGCCCAGTTAAGGGTGCATTATGTGACGATGATGCCGAAGCGGATGAAGTTCCGGGTGGCAATGGCGGCGGTGGCACGTTTTGTACATTCCATTGCTGTGGAGCAAAAGGTCCTCCTCGAACACTCACCTGCTGCTTATCCTTGCCCTTTCCTTTTACGGAAGGTTGCAACCGACTGTAAAGGTCTGTAAGCGGCGGCGGCTTCGGCGTGAGATTGAAATCTGTCGGCCTTGTATGTACCGGAATGCCACTGGCTGTATTGGGTGGCACTTTCGGTGGAGGAACCTTTGGAGGAGGCACCTTTGTTGGTGGGACCTTCGGAGGTGAAGGTTTTGCTGGACGTGGTTTTGAAGCCGGGGATAAGCCGGCCGTTGGTGCATCATTTGGTGCAGGTGGTGGAGGTGGTGATGCTGGGGCCTCTTTCACCGGTACTGACGGTGGATTGGAAGGAGGCTTTGGGATTGACGGTTTTGCAGGAGTGGATGATGGAGTGCGAAGTGGAGGACCCAAAAGGTCCTTGGGAATGTTGCCACGCTTAGGTGGAAGGTCTTCACGGCTGCGAGATATTGCACGGGCAACTGAACCACGTGGCGTCCCTTTTGCGGGAGCAGTGGAACCTGACGCAGAAGAACTGCCTTGCCCTTTGCCCTTACCGGCAACATCTCCTCGCACACTGGCATCCCGTTTATGGGAGTCTCCTTTGCCTGATACTTGTCCTTGAGCAGGAGGTGCATTCATACTGAATACCGACGAGGTATGCGTCCCTGTTACGGGAGCTGGCGGCTGAGGCACGCCTGGCGGTGGAGTCCGGTTGTCAACCCAAGTTGCAATACGACCAGATTGATCTCGGTCTTCTTTCCTCCTCCACTGCAGCCTCGGTCGTTTGTCTGCATCTCCAATAGTCTCCATATACATCTGCGATCGCTTCCGCGTCAACGGGGGCCTTGTTACAGGTCCTTGAGGAGATGGGGATCCACGCTGTCCAAACTCCAACAAAAGTTCTTCCAACCTTCTGACTTCGTCAGATGACATGTCCTGGCCACAATCGGCAAACTTGGGATAAGGCGTGGCCATGCGCTGTTCGATGTTCATGAAGCCCATCTGTGAAACTGGCTGTCCACGATCGCGTCCCTGCACATTTGCAGACTGTTGCGCGTTTCTCTGATATTGAATGTTTGCATAATTTTCATTCTGCTCTGCAAACTCACTCAAAATCTTGTAAATGCCTGTCGTGTCTCCACGAGGAATACGAATTGAATGAATATCGCCATAGACGTCCGTCGTGGGGATAAAGCCCTGGATCTTGATCTCATCTCGGCTATCGCCAATTACGGCGGCGTATTGTCGGAGTGACATAAACTCTCGGCGATAACTGATCAGAAAGTTCTCGTCGGCGCCTTGCTTGAAACAGGTATGTAGGTTGTCAACACCGCATCGAATATACGCGAGCTTGGCGAGGTCAACCCTGTCCAGTCGATCCAAATCACTGACAACCGACTTCCCTTTTGATCTCTGCTTCGCTGATCTCGTGGGTGCCGGTAATTGCAGTGACGCAAACAAGTCTTCTTGCGCTGCATCAAACGCTGTGCATCCTTCTCCGGTTAAGGAGGTGGCGAAGACGTCGTCGCGGTTGAATCGATCGAATACATTCTCATACCCTGATTTCAATGCTTTGCGAAGGCGACTGCGAGCTGCAAGAATAATCTGACTGTCAACTGACGGGCTGCCACGAGCTGGAGGTCGTCCAGACTGTAGGTCCTGCGCGGCAATGCTGTCAAGCATGCTTATTGCGGTCATGTTCTTGGGCACGCCCCCCTGCTCTTGTAGCACCTTTGCACGCCTCATCTGAAGTCGCATAAACTTTGAAATCGGTCCATCTGTTGTATTGCTCTGAAATACTACTCCGCATCGATGACAAGATGCCATTCCTGCTAAGGAAAGTGTCGTACATTTATCGCAGCTGAAAGTTCGAAGATGTAGAAAATATCCACTCTCGATCTGTGGTACAGCTGTATTGCGATTTGCCTCCATCTCTTCCTTCTTTGCGGCACTGCTGCTAGCTGTGCGTTCTTCGGGAGTGGCGTCGCTTGTACCTTCCAAAATGGTGCGTACTTCCGACACTTTTCCCGGGACCAATGTCACATCATCTTGCGGAACACCGACCTCAATGTTCGAAGGATCCAATGCCTGCGGCCTCGAATAGAAAACTTCCGGCTCCGCATTTGCGCGGGCTCGAGTTGCAAATAGAATACACGTATTCGGAACGTGATGGCTGGTAATCACCGCGCCAGAATTTGTGAGGAAAAGATCAACTCCTGCTTCAATCACATCCGGTGTTGAAAAACAAATCTCCACTGGTCGGTCAGCACGAACACCAGATATCGCCTTCTGGTTTCCCAGAGGTTGTGTTGAAAAGAAGGAATTGCCTTTGCTTTTCGGTCCACCGGCTCCACCGCCGGGAATGAGCCCGCTCGCAATAATGGATCGCGCAGCACCTTCATGCGTTCGGTGGTAAAGCCGAGGTGGTATATCGCGGTTCCCGTGCGCTGTCAAACGAGCATTGTACCTGTGTACATGGTCAGGACGGCAGTAGATTAGTACTGCTAGCACTTCATTTGATCGCGTCTCGAGAACGTCGTCGGTGTGGCCTTGTCCACATCGGATCTTGACGGGGGCGGCGAAAAGTTCGAGCTGCTCGTTCACACGAGAGTCGTACACGCATTGAAATTCGAAACGATCTTTGTTGTCATAAATAGCCATCGAAATCAACTCAAAAACATTCATAGAATCAGCATAATCAGGGAATTTGGCCTTGGCCAAATCTAGTAGTTTGTAAATTGGCAAATAACACGCCGGATCATAAATACTGACGTCTGGGACGTGTCCACGAAGAAGACCAGAAATACCGCGACGAACATGACATGGCCAGGAGCAGCACCACTCCCAAGGCCCATGATGATAATCCTCATATACATAATAATACCTATGGCCAGTAACGTGGTACAGCACGTACTGCTTGGCGTCGCGGCCCAGCTCATCCTCGAGGAGTTGGATGTTGCCATTCCCGATGGCCTTGAGTAGGTGATCCGGGTAAGGATACCTTCCGAGAACCTCTTCAACCTCGACCTGCATATTTTTGTACTCGGGGTTAGGCTTCGTCTCGCGAACGAGAACGCCCTTCCCTTTTCCAGAAAATTTCAAGTCGGGGTTGTCGTTGTTCTCAGGTGCAAGAAAGCTCCCCGTTACGGGAGCGACCGAAGGGGTGCCTTGTCCCTGCCCTTTGCCTCGCAATCGCGGCAATGGTGGTCTCGGGTCAGATGAAGACGCTTGACCCTCTGCGGGTTGGTCCGCGTCCGTAGGGATCATAGGAACATCTCCGGTTGCACCTTCTTCAACAGTCGTTTCATCATCAGCCAAAACATCAAGAACCTCGGCCTCGATCTTCGCCATCTGTGGATCAGGTTCTGGTGCTGTCGGCAAGGCATTTACGCCTGCGATACCAGTATCAGGCCCAGGTACTTCGTCGGTTGCGCCTGTATAGCTATCGGGCATCTCAACGTCCGCGTCGGTTTCCTCAACCTTCGGCTCGACTTTTACGTCGGCTGTCGCAACGTTATCCATCGGCTCGTCCAATGCGGGCTGTTCCTCCGGTAGCTCAATAACAGGTACAACATTGACAAACTGCAACACATCTTGAGGATCTTCGCCTTCCAGGTTAACGGAGGCCTTGAGCTCTTCGACTGACACGTCATTCGTCTCAAAGGGGCTGTACGCTTGTACTTCCTCGACAGTAAACTGCCTGCTCTTCCCCAACGTCTGTTGCATTCGCGCGTTTCGCTGTTCAACAAATTCATTGATAAGTTGTAAATACGATTCCGGTATTTTGACTGTCGCTGAGGAATCCCAACTGTATTTAAATCTTCTCACCCTGTTGAGCGCGGCAATTCCCTCTCGGGAAGCTTCAACGACGTTCACATGGTACGACAATTTGACAATCGAGGTCACATAGTTCACGAAGCGATCGATGTTCTCCTGCGTCTTTCGCATATGCCATTGATCAACTTTATCGGATTGGTAAACCAGATTGTCAGGCTGGAATCGGTGTATGCCGAGACTCTCAATGATGTCGTTGATTTCTGCCCAGAAAATATCGACAAACGAAGGCAACTCAAAAAGATAAGAAGATATTCCACATATACAGCAGAGCTCGTCGGAGATCTC